TAATATCTCCATTCCTCTGCCCTTTTTCATCTTGAGATGGGGAAATTCAAGGAAGGCGGGAGAGGCAAGAGAACCCATCAAGCTCAATCTCTACACTCTCTGGCATGCCACCCCCTTTCTGGGGTTGTGGCTTTTAGGAAGTGTTACTCAAGAGTGCTTAATGCACCCAGACTCACTGCCAACATCCTCACTTCCATTCTGCTTGCCTCAACACTCTAACTAGGCCACAACACTAAATATTAGTACCCAGATTTCCTCTATGCAAAAAATCCAACATCTGGGTAGGATTTTATATATTTTTATTAGAAATAAAAGAGTTAAGAGAGAGAGAGAGAGAGAGGATAAAACTGCAAAAAGAAAAAAGGTGAAAGTTATACTATAAATCTCCTTGGAAAAGCAGAACAAGAGTTACACGGCATTACAACACCAATTTTTGAGAAGGTACACACTTAGAAAAATAAGAAAGTCCAGATAACCTGGGTCTCTTACTTATTCTTAACCCATGCTATTACCTGAACAGGATCTCCTCAGAAATAAGCAGAGCCTTTCGGGGGTGTGAAGTTTGTCCTTACATGAGTTCTCATTCCTCACTCACCTCAATCCCAAATCTCTCTGGCTTGCTCTATAAAGGTGCCTGATGTTACAGATGCTTTAATCACCTCTCATTGCTGTTAACTTTTCAAGTACCTTCAGGTGAATGGATTGCTTCCTTAACAGGGATTCATCCCTGGGTACCTTGGGCAGGAAGTAGGTACCCCATCGAGTTCTAACACACTTCAGGCATCTGAGTTAAGCATCCACAAAGTGGGTCCCTCAGGAAAGTGCCCTTTAGCAGCTAGTTTGGGAAACCCAAACTTAGAGAGATTTTAGAGGAGAGTCAGGGGAAAGTTATCTTCAGTTTTGGTATCTCTAGGTACCTTGGGAGCTGTTTTATAGACCAAAAAAATCAACAAATTGAAAATTGCTAGAAATTCATTGATTCGTATTCGTCAGGGGCATTGATTTGTACAAACACGAATCAAGAAATTAGCGATATTTGAACAGATTTGGTGATTCATTTTTTTAATTCGTGCCCACATCTAGTATAAAATCATACAACCAGAGACATACAGAATTGTAGAGCAGGGAGAGATCCCAAGAACCTTCAAGCCCATGCCAAAGTAAGAAATGTAGTAAAAAGCTGACCACATGGGCATTTTGTGTGCAGGGATGGGCTGGTTCACTCTTAAAGATGGCAGTCAGGTGACATGTTTGCTGAAGTGAACCGCACTGTTTCTAGAATGGTCCTGCCTGCACCTTTCTGGGCCCTGTTAGGGTTAGGGGCTTCTACTTTTTTGGGTGCAAGTGGGATCACCCTCTTTTGGCTCATCTCAAGTGGGTGTCATTGGTGGAAACCAATGAAAAACCTTCCTGTTTTTATTTGCCAGTGTCATGAAGTGGCTGAATATGAGAGACACCTTGTGTTGTTGACTAATTAAATATTTCATCTGCTCCTCAGATTTTTTAAGATTCCATTAGGGCAGAAAAGTGTGCTGCATCAAATTAAGAATTATTTTTTCCTTCCCTTTCCATTAAAGGTCTTGTTAAAAAAAACACCCACAACTGAATCTCCTAGAGATCATATTTAGTCCACCTGGCTCCAGCCCCAACCTAGCCATATAAAGAAGCCCTAAAATGCATGATGTGAGATCTTTGAAATTTTCATTTTAAGGATTACAGCTCCCATATTCATTACTATGGTCTATAGTTTCTTTCTATGCATTGTTTGCATAACATCTGTGCAGGTGGTGCTGAACAGGTTTCTACAAACACATTTTTGCTGATTTACATCTCTATGAAACCTTTTAAACTACAGATGACTTCACTCTTCTGCTAGACCTGGCTAGATCTCTAGCAGCTAGAGGCTTTCTTTTCTTTCTTTTTAAAAGAAATCTTGGAATTTGGGGCAAATGATGATCCAAACACCTCTAAGCTCTGTAAAACAAATTTAGCTAAAGGGATAATAAGGCAAATTATGTGTGTTTGGGTTATAATTTTTGCAAGGCTTTCTTTGAGAATCTACTTTGGAATGTGGTAGTTGTTGGTTAGAGCGTAGATTCTGCAAAGGCATAAAGGAAATCAATATTAGAAAGTGGCACAGTGAACCATACAATATGTGACTTGTTCATGATGCTCTGAAAAATACAACCGTGTGCATAATCTTGATTTAGAACTCCAGAGCTGGAAGGGACCTTATGGATCATCCAGTCCAGCCTCTGTCAGGGAGGCACAGTGGGGAATCGAACTCCCAACCCCTGGCTCCACAGCCAGAGAACTAAACACCGAGCTATTCAGCAAGTACACTGAAATGAAGCAGCATGGAAGAAATTGAAATAGTTGAAGATTTTGTTTACCTTGGTTCAGTCATCAAGGAATTAGAAGATTGAGACGAGGAAGGACAGCAATAAAGGAATTAGAAAAGATAATCAAGTGTAAGGATGTGTCACTAGAGACTAAGACTAAGATCATCCACACCCTTGTGTTATGAATCACCATGTATGGATGTGTAAGCTGGACAGTAAAGAAAACTGATAGGGGGAAAATGATTTTTTTGAAATGTGGCGCTGGATGAGAGCTTTGTGAATACTCGGGACTGCTAGAAAGACAAACACATGGGTCCTAGATCAAATCAGGCCTGAACTATATCTGGAGGCAAAGATGTCGAAACTTCATTCCCACCATAAGACAGGGCTGTGGAACATACGACACTCCAAGTACTGATACACTATAATTAGTCCTTTGATTCCCTGGCTATTGGTTTCATATTGAACTAGAATCTAAGAACACCCAGAAAGCTGAGTAATCTCTAGGAGAAGGCCCCTTTATTGGTGAAGGTTGAGAAGTGAATGAATGTTGGGAGTGATCTTAAGGAGCATAAAGCCCCAAAGAAATGTATCTGAGCAAAATACATACGTAAAGGAATGAGAGAGTTAAAAGAAATGTAGGTGGAGGAAAAGAAGCTTTAGAGGTGAAGAACAGAGGAAACAGGGAAGTGAAGAAGTAAGCAGCTCATCGGAATGGGTGCTATAAAGAAACTTCCGTGTTTAAAATTAGACGAGTAGTCTGCAATGGAAGGAGGGAAAGGGAAAGGTGAAGAAGACAGGGCAAGAATTATGGTAGCCAGCATCCCCACCCCCACCCCCACCCTCCCCGGGGAGAAAAAAGTACTGGATGAAAAGCACAGGGTGAAAGCAAAAAACAAAACAAAACCCAACCTCCCAGATTTTGCTGGGCTACTGGTCTGGTGCTAGTGAAGTGGGGGCGGGTTGTAGTGGGATCTTTCAGTAGCATATGCCTTAATGTTTTCAGTTGCCACCATGACCTGGATGGGTATGCACCATGCATTCATCACTGAAGTCTTTATCAAAGCCAACAAATCTGTGTTTGTGACTCAGAGACCTTTTCATATCCGCTTTGCACTTAGTCGAAATGCTGCTGTTCCGGACTGAAGAACCATATTACTATGGTTTGGAAATTTCAGGACCACAGGACCCCTGGGGCTTTTTGAAAGCTGAGGTCTGCAAAGATCGACCAAGAACTATTGATGAACTGAAGGCTGCTATGCACCAAGAGATTGCAGCAATATTGCCACAAATGACCCTCCAGGTGATGCAAAACCTCAAAACGCAATTAAAAATGGACAATGTCATTTTCAAAACAACATGCACTTTTAGGTTATGTAATAAAATTTTGAATTGCATTTACTGTGCCTTTTTTGTTGACCTTTAAAATCAGGGAGTTGTTTATTTTTGCCTCACCCTGTATTAAAATAGTAGACAAATATTATTGGCATAAAAGAATCCAGAACCCCTAATCACATCAAACAAAGCAGCCAGATTCTGATGGAAGGCCTTTGATTCATGCTGCCCAAACGTTGGCTGGTGCTAAGGATTAATTAAATCCACTGACTGAATGCCTTCCAACCTGGCAGGAACATCCCACCTTGGATGATTTTGCTAGGTGTCCAGGCTTGTAATGGAGTTGAGCCTCCTGATGGCATTGATCTCAGTTTCTCTGACACACTCAGACCGCCCTCACCATGTTTAGATGTGCATCCAAGAGGAGAAGACACCAAGATGAAACTCATTTTCTATGTATTTGGCTTGGTATGGCTCAGATATAGATCCTACTAAACTGAGACCTGCAGCTCAAGAAATATACATTTGTGTATATCTGTAATTATTATACAGCAGAGTTGGAGGAGTTATATTCTTGGACTACCTTGCATTTCCTTGCACTACAACTTCCAGAATTTCCCACCCACCATCGTCAGTGACTATGCTGGCTGAGGGATTTGGGAGGGGGGCTTGTTAATTCAATGAAATGTATTCAGACTCTGAACACCTTTGCTATTGGGGTAGGTCACATGGAACTGCTTACCTTTCTAGCACAAATTCTTTTCAGCTTCTACTTTATGACCATCTAACCAGGGTGTTCAGAACGGCAAAAGCTTTTGCCTGATTACTTGACCCTTCTCCCTCCTGACAAATCAAATCTACAAAATGGCACTGGATGTCATGGTTAATGGAGAGGGTAAATGTTTTTCAGAGGCTCTATCTCTTCTGTCTAAAGGAAGCTGTTTTAAGACCCATGTTAATGAAAACTGCCCTTGACCCTAAAGTTCTCAGTAATTATAGGCCATAAAATTTATTCTAGCTGAAAAAAATGGTGGCAGTGTAACTCCAAGCACACCTGGATAACCCGATTACCGATATCTGGCTTTCAGCTGGGATATGAGACTTGGTCCTCTTATCCAGTCACCTACTCCGAGACTGAATAAGAGGACTGCAGCTTTTCAGTTGCATTTGATCACGGTACTCTGTTGGATTGCCTGGTGTTGGAACACTGTATTGCATCTCTGAAGGATGTTTAATGTGATGTGAACAATCCTTTTATATCCCCTGTCATTATGATTTTATGATTAAACAAGCAGTCCAAAAATATGATTCAACACAAAGGAAGTCTTCTCCAGCAGCTTTATTGTTCACAGTGGACTATTAGGGACACAAAAATGGAGAATCTTAATGTGCCTTTGTTTCTTTTCATGACTTTTCTTTTCTTTTCATTTCATTTGCGCTTTCTGTGGAGAGAAATGAATGTTATAAAAGTGAGTCTGGAGCAGTGTTCCCCAAAATCCCCTGTCCCGTGGGCATCATGCTTCCTGACGATAAAAGGGATTCTATGGGAGCTTTGAGTAGGAAACTAGAAAATACTTTATTTCCAAATAAAATGGTCATGGCTGACAACAGGAGTCTCTTCTTTTTGATGAGATTGACTGGGTGGGAGGGTGATTAAATAAAGGGGCATAGATGGGGTGCGAAGAAGGGAGAACTCTTTACCTCATGTTTAAAAACGAGGTGCTTATATACCAGAGCTAACTTGGTCCCCACTCCAATCCTATAAAGCTATGGTTGTTGCCCGCCAAAATGTGGATATGGAATCGTGAAGGGAAAGAACAGTATGTGTTCAGAGGCATTCACTATTAATACTTCAGAACAATATTCTTTATCACTGACAGAATTCACCTGAGCCCTTGCACTAATGACCCCCCCACTCACACATTCTTATTCTGAAACAACATTTTTCAAGTAGCTATTATTGCATTCCTATAAACACTACTCTGAGAGTGCTTTCCTTTTGCAGGACCTGGTTAATTAATCACAATTACCAGTGTTTATGCCACAGTCTATTTGTGAACTGAGAAATGGAATTTATATCATGAAATTTACCACCTGAAGTTCACAAACTTGGTTTGTGTGCAATTAGATTTTTACCTTCATGGCAACATCTACAGATAGTCACTGTCAACCATCACCATCCATATGGAACTACATTCTCCACCAGGTGTTTCATATCTGCCAATTACTTTTCTGGCATAACTACTGCCCATACTTTAAATAATACACTGCAATACAAAGAGGCATAGAATTCTATGGTTTTATGTATCAGGACATAATAAAAATCATCTTGTCCTTACCAGGCTTGAAAATTAGGTAAATACAACTTCAGATGAAGAGCAACACATAACTTATTACACTGTGTCAATATTTACTTTGCAATAATAAAACCAAAATGGAGAAGCCTTTTGTGAAAAACTAAGTACTGCTTTACTGCTTCCATAGGAATTAAAGAGACTAAGTAGCAGCCAAGTGCTGCTAACCAAGTGCGCTTGAATAAATTGATCATCAACAAGTGTGACCACCTCTATAAAAGCCAAAATTTTGGCAGTTAGTTGGTTTGGAGCATTTGGGTGTGTGTTAACACAATGTCAAGGAAGAAACACATCAGCAATGATCACAGAGAAACAATTGTTACTGCCCATCAATCTGGGAAGGGTTATAAGGCCATTTCCAAGCAATTTAAAGCCCATCATTCTACAGTGAGGAAGATTATTCACAAATAGAAAAATGTTCAAGACAATTGCCAATATTCCCAGGAGTGCACATCCAAGCAAATTCACCCCAAGATTAGACTGTGCAGGTAAAAGTAAAGGTAAAGGTTCCCCTTCACATTTAGTCCAGTCATGTGCAACTCCAGGGGATGGTGCTCATCCCTGTTTTCCAAGCCGTAGAGCCAGCGTTTGTCCGTAGACAGTTTCCATGGTCACATGGCCAGCGCGATTAGACACGGAACGCCATTATCTTCCCACCATGGTGGTACCTATTTATCTACCCACATTTTACATGCTTTTGAACTGCTAGGTTGGCAGGAGCTGGGACAAGCAACGGGAGCTCACCCTGTAGCATGGATTCGATCTTACGACTGCTGGTTTTCCAATGTTGCAGCACAGAGGCTTCTGCAGTTTAACCCGCAGCACCATCATGCCCCTTTTCAGACTGTGCAATGCTCAGACAAATTGCAAAAAAAGAAAATAAATAACCCCCCTCCAAAAAAAATAACCACAAAAAACCCAATGTAAATAAATACATATTGTGGTTATTTTGAGAAATGTAGACAGACTCTCAGACTCTAGAGGCCTCAGTTAGCATGTTAGATGTTAAAGTTCATGACAGTACAATTAGAAAATGGCTGAACAAGTAGCATTGGTTTAGAAGGGTTGCCAGGAAAAACCCTCTTTCTTCTAAAAAGAACATGGAAGCGCAGCTCTGGTTTGCAAAGTTGCATCTGGACAAACTACAAGACCTGGAACAATGTCCTTTGAACAGATGAGACCAACATGGAGATGTTTGGCCATAATACACAGCACTACATTTGGTGAAAAACAAACATAGCACTTCAAGCACATGGTGAAGTGGTGATGATTTGGGCTTGTTCTGCAGCCACAGGACCTAAGCACCTGCTTTCACTGAATTGATCATGAACTCCTCTGTATACCAAAGTATTCTACAGTCAAATCTGAAGCCATCTGTCTGACAGCTAAAGTTTGGCTGAAAGCGGGTCATGCAACAGGACAATGATCTCAAGCACACCAGCAAATCTACAACAGAAAGGCTGAAAAAGAAAAGAATCGAGGTGTTGAAATGGCCCACTCAAAGTCCAGGCTTCAACCTGATTGAAATGCTGTGGCAGGACCTTCAGAGAGCTGTGCATAAACAAATGCCCACAAACCTCAAGGAACTGAAGCAACTGTTGTAAAGAAGAGTGGCCAAAATTCCTTCACAATAATGTGATAAGACTGATGAAGTCATACAGAATACGATTACTTCAAGTTATTGCTGCTAAAAGTGGTTCTAAAAGCGAATGAATCATAAGATGTACTTAGTTTTTCACACATGGCTTCTCCATTTTGTCTTTATTTTTGTTAATTAAATTACGACACGGTATAATATGTTGTGTGTTGTTCATTTGAGGTTTCATTTACCTACTGTATTTTTCTGTTTATAACACACCCTTGTTTATTTATTTATTTTATTTATATCCCGCCTATCTGGTCGTGTCAGGATTCCCCCCCCTTTCTAACCCAAAAATTAAGAAAACTTAGCTTTGAGGATTCAGTCTCTAGGCTCAGAACGGTCAGACATTTTGTGTCCCTGTTGAATCTGTGCCTACAGGCTACGCTTCCAATGAGGTGTGTTCCAGTTGGTTTGTACAGCATCGGCTGATGTCAGTTCCATAATGCTTGTGATTGGAAGAAGCTAAGTCTCCTGACTATAGGAAGCTAAGCCTTGTGACTGAGGGAAGCCTGTTTACAGAGGCAAGGTATGTGCTGTTTTGTTCTCTCCTCAATTATCTCAGCTTACTTCCATGTAAAAGACACCCTTCAATTTTTAGTGTAATGCTTTTAGGAAGAAGTAGAGCTTATACATGGAAAAAATATGGTAAATTTTCATACCTGCCAAGGACCAAATTATTTTTATTACGACCTGATACGTAAAACCATAGAATTCAAAGAGGGTGTACTTTCTTTTTTGTTGACTGTATGTAGTGTTACACCCAATCCTTGCAATGGAAGAAGGAAAACAGAAGCTTCATTTTACCCCATCCTTACCTATGGTGCAGGGTGCACTATATTCCACAACCTCATACTCATCTGTGTGAGAGAAAAGAAACAATATTCATTCATTCATTCATTCATTCATTCATTCATTCATTCATTCATTCATTCATTCGACTCACAAATTATGGGATAAAGATGAGCACAATCTAAAATCAAAGAAGGGGTTCATTAATTTTTGGGTAATCTGATGCTGTTGGTTGTCCTGATATGTGGTTCTAGAATAAGAATTGCGTGATGATGGCTCCCTTCTTTGCTGAGAAGTTGGAGACATTAAGATGGTTTACCCCCACCCAGAGGCTATTGGACACAAATAAGTTCCAGGAGGCCTCTGAGGGCAGGGTTCCCAAAGGGCCTGGTCCATGCACTTGTCAAAACCCAGGTTGCCAAATGGTATTCCTTGGTGGCCAGGCAATTGACACAGTTGCGCTTAAATGCCTTCTCCAATCCAGGATTCATCCTTCATCCTGGTTTATGGATGCGTTATAAGCCATGAAGGCGAAGGCTAGAGAGTAACTAGAGGAAAGCTCCCTCAGATGGGAATTTAGCTGCAGTAAGAAAACTGTCCAGCAATATTGTAATGTCATTTGATTGCCTAAGAGAGCCTATTATACCTCACTCATTATTGAGCCATCTCACCAGCAAACCATACTCTCTGTTAAGTGGTCTGGGACCTCACAAATGCTGGACAGTCCAATGGTCCTCAGTCTTATATTGTCACTGCTAGCTGACTTGCAGCTCACTTTCAAGCAAAAACTGAGGCCATCCCTAGGCACCTCGACTCTCTTAGGGACACAGTTTATTGTGCTGAAATGTCCAACGCATTGTCTTTCCTGGTTTTGTTGGATCTGGTTCAATCTGCAACGCCTGATGACATGGACGCTTGCACACTGCACAGCCACTTCCTCTCTACTGGACCCATGTCCTCCGTGGCTTTTGAAATCTGCCAGGGAGGCAATGGTGGAATGCGCCACCCTGATAGTTAGTTCCTCTTTGCAAGAGAGCCTTCCGCCCTCTTATTTGAAAGAAACTATAATCAAGCCCATTGTTTAAAAATCATCCTTAGCAGCGGAGGATGTAAATAACTGCAGACTTGTTGCTAACATTCTGTTTTTGGGAAAATTGATAGAGATGGTTGAGGCAGACACCACTATGGGACTAAGATAGTTTTGTTCACTCTGCTCAACGACCTATTGAGTTAAGCCAACTAGGAGAATGTGATGTTGTTGGTCCTCCTGGATCCCTCAGCAGCCTTTGATACTGTCAGCTATGGACAAGCTGTTAGGTTTGGAGATTGGAGACTCAGTGTTACACTGGCTCTGCTTTTTTCCTCAACGGCTGTGATCAGAGTGTGCAGGTTGGGGCTTTTGTGCATTGTGGAGACTGAGAGGGGTCAGTCATCTCCCCAGTGCTATTTAATATCTATTTGATGCCACTGGGGGTGATCATCTGGAGATTTGGAGTTCATTGTCATCAATATGCTGATGACACACAGCTCTATCTCTCCTTCTCATCATCATCATCAGAAGTTGTGCAGACCCTGGAGTGGTGCCTGACCTTGCTTATGGCCTGGACGAGGGCTAACAAATTGAACTAAATCCAGAGAGAGATCATGTTGTTGGGAGGGGAGCCTGCCTAGTTATGAGGTAACTTGCCTGACCTTGAAGGGGTCACACTCCCCTTAAAGGACCAGGTCCACAACTTGGGGTGTTGCTGGATGCAGCTCTCACCAGGGTGAAATAAAGATCTGCCGTGGTAACGTCTGCATTTCTTCATATTTGGCACAGTTGCTGCCCTTTCTGGACAGGAACTTCCTAATCACACTGGTCCATGTGTTGGCAATCTCTAGGATCTGTTACTACAGTGCTGTCCATATGGGGCTGCCTTTGAAGGGAACATGGAAGCTTCAACAAGGGAAATTTAAATGTCAGCTTATTTATTTATTTATTTATTTATTTATTTATTTATTTATTTATTTATTTATTTATTTATTTATTTATTTATTTATTTATTTATTTATTTATTTATTTATTTTATTTTATTTTAT